CAGCTTGTGTCGGAAAGTGGAGTGTGCCATAGCAATCATCATTGGCGCTCTTCTGTTCAGACATCGATCTTACCAACACTGCCCAAGAGGTGAAAGGGCAATGAGTGCTCTTATTTTGACAAGTATAATAAACTCTGAGTCTTTGATCCATTCTAATGGAAATGTGTCTGTCTGCAGCGCTGGTGGATCCTGCTTTTCGACCTCTTAATGTCAAGGACACAACTGGACACTGTCGTGTTGCAACAGCTGCTGGTCATGGCGTCATCATGGCCTCAGATGCTGGCAAAGAATAAGACTCAAGCAACGGCACCGTCGTCTGAAGCCATTCTGGAAGACCTGCAGGGCACAGTCCAGGGGCTGCTTCTGTGGCTCTGTGGAGAGGTCATCCGGCGGCGGAGCACAACCACCGCTGTAGGAGGCTCCCAGGTTCGTCTTGCTGATGGAGCTGCAAGGATGACGTTCCATGTGGGAGTGCACCATGCCTGGTGGGACTCTGGAGGATCCCTGCAGTGGGGAAGTGTTGATGGTTTGATCCTTCAGAGAGCAGGTATGTGAATCTTTCATCTGTATGGTGGTGACGGGGGCATTGGTAAGTGTTCTGTGCCCCCCACAGGTAACTGGCTTTGATGCCAGCGCACGGGCCCGCTGGGGATGAGCCACAAGATAGTGGTTTGTCTGTTGCAAGCTGCAAACTTATTGGGCAATGCATTAGTTTTGTTTCAGGGTTTAGGAGATGCAGTTGGTTTGCTGACAGAGATGTTTGTGGCTTCCAGCAAGGTGCAAGCAGCACTAATTGCTTGCCGACAAACAATAGCTTGTTGTTTTGTTTTGGTGCAATATTTGTGGCCTAGATCCAGGATGTATCTGGTGATGGTCCCGAATTTGTGTGTGACCCGTAGAGCTTCCAATCGGAGCAGAAACTTCCTGTGCTTCCATTCCTGGATCGCTGATTGTGTTGTTATGCAGGTCGTTGCAGTAGGGACGGCAGCCATCGGCAGTTCCCTGCCCTCCAGTGTTGCACCCATGTGTGCTCTGACTGACTGATTGGCAGAGTGGAGGGACGACATCAATAACCATTGTTTGTGGTGTGCAAAGCTGTTCAGTCAATACAAAAACATATCTGCGGGCTTGTGGGACTGACTGCAGTCAGGCGTACAACCTAATACTGACTGGTAAACAGGGTCAGAAACATGGCAGAAGGCCAGCTAGAACATTGCAATAGCATGAGCTCGCACCTGAATCCAATTCTGTTGCCCTGCTAGGTGTATAATCGCTCAGTTCCTTTTGCCAACAAAAGTCCTGGCAACCGTCAATCCTGGGAAGGAGGAAATTGGATGTCGCGGTCCTGAGCAATGCCAATTGAATGTAGGTATCATATTGTAGGCAATACCCCTAAGGTTACAGCTGATCGTACACCTGCTGACCACCTTTCTGGAGTATGCATCTCCTTAGTAGGGCACTAGCCTATGGCGTGGTGGACCACCACAGTGCTGCAGCACCCTGGTGGTGCAGGGCTTGCGACCAGGCAGCATCTCTGTGAAATACAAGGCTAGCTTGCCAGGCAACTTGCTGTGCAGTTTCAGTGAAAACTGGCACCTGTTGCTGGTTCCCAGCCACGTTTTGTGTGCATTGAATGCAGGCCAGGCTTGCTGCTGATGACAGATGACTGCATTCGGATGCTTGCTGGTCACCCACTGCATTGCAGCATGCTTGCCCCATCGTTTGAGGTCTTCGAACACAGGGCACCACTGGTGTCCACCCCTGCATTGAAGGATTCTCCAACACGGGTTTGTTGTGAACTCACAGCACGGATGCACGCATCGAGGCATCCCTTGGTTGTGGGATTGGATTTAAAATCTGAGCGACTGCTCTTTGATGCATTGCAGGGTCACAGATGGAGTTGCTGTCAGCGAGAGCAGCGAGGCTTGTGGGATGGGCCATTGGAGATGGTGGGCATGACAATGCAGCTCTGGAGTCATCTGCGCTGTTGAAGACTGTGAGGAGGGTCCTGCCTGCAGCTGTGCAGTGGCTAGGCTGGAATTGGGGCCATGAGGTGGGTACTGCCCCTTGGAACATCGTGCACCTGATGGATTAACTGTCGTCACCTTTCAACTGGAAGAGCAGAATGTTGCGTTGGGAAGGCACAACGATTGCAAAGAATAATTGGGGGGCTGCATTGATCACATTTGCCAGGGATGCGATGAAACACTGCTCCTGCACCTTTAGGCCTGTGTTGGGTGTCGACCCTCTTGCAACACCAGTTGTTGTGCTTTGGAGTCGAACTCCTGCTTGTCTGTTCCACTGACTCTGTAGGCGCGCAGGACAGGCTGTCATATGTGCAGTCAATGTGCCTGGTTCCAATAGTCAGTGCAACGCTATTTAATCTGCAGCACTGTAATGTACTTGTGGTTGCTTGTGTATAAGGTGGGAACTGTAAACCAGTAGTACTGCACTATTGTGGTGCAGTTGCATTGCAAATTAGTTTCCGTTGTGTGGTTCCTCTAGTGCAGCAAAGTAATTGAATGCATTTGGCACCACATTCAAGCTGCCTCTCTTCCTCTCCGAAGTGTGCAGTAGTGCTGTTGTGGTCGTATAGTGCACTGTGTATTGACATCTGTGTCCTCATGGCATGTGCAGGTCGTCATACAGGACCTTCTCAAGCGCCTGAAGCGTGCCTCAAGGCCTGGCGCGATCGTTGCCCTTCGAATCATGTCCACGATCATCCAAACCATGGCCCGTGCAACCCAACAGGACCCCTCTGCCAAGGCTGCCTGTATGTCAGTGTGCAAAGCCCTCCTGGGGTCTGGGGCCGCTGGGCAGACCGCAAGGACAGTGGGAGTCAAGCAAGAGATCGTGCAGCTTGTTGCTGGCGTCCTCAGCACCCTGGCATATGTGCAGAAGGAAGTGGCGGGGTCAGGGGGCGAATCTGTGCTTCTGGCTGATGCGGATTTGGGTGAGTGCCTGAAGCTCTTGCAGGCAGTCGCCAGGAAGCTGCACCCCAGCTCCGTACCAAGGTCTGTCATGCCGATGATGGCGATAGGCCGGGAAGGTGTAAACAAACAGAGAAAGAGTGAGGGCAGAAAATAGAATCCTTTCTTTTTGGATATAGCCTAGGTTCGTGTTTGTATGAGCCGTTTGGAAACAAGCACACTGTGGATGCCCGCACATTCTCCTTTGTCGCCTTGTAGTTGCCTGGATGCCAGTGGGCAGATTGAATCAGTGTTAGTGTAGTGCTAGCAGTAGGTTAGTTTCCATGAGATGCTTCCAGAATGTATCGCCTAGACATGTTCTGGGGGAACGCTGTTCTTTTAAAAATGTTATGAGCATCACTCAGTCCAGATTCCTGCTGTAAAGGGGCAGTTTGCATCCTGTTGCACAGACACTGCTGCGCAGAGTGGGACTGAATAACATCTGTTCGCATGGCTGCATAATGACCACCGCTCTACTGGGTGGATCATTTATGATTCAGCTGGCAAGGGTTTCTATGACAAGTGCTTGAGTCACTGTGTGGAATGTCCGAGTGAGCCGCCACCAATGAATGCAACAAGAAGTGAAAATACAACAGAAAAACATATGAAAAAAGATAGTGGGCAGACTTAATAAAATAACAGAGTTTCAGTGAATCAAAGGTCAACCACCATTTCCTGATTGGCGACGCTATGGGAAGACACTATTTTGATTTTTGTACGCTTAACGTCAAATTGACGCAATCGCTACAATTTTTGCTCTTTTTCTCCCTTAAAACTCTTGAAGTTGTATGGCATTGTTAGGTACTGTTGCTGAGGGAGAATGGCAGTGTCAGTATTCCCTGCAGTGGCCTGGGTCAGGCCTGAATATATCTGAAACTCTGTCTTTCTCAGTCTTGGCTGAGGAGATGCGATGGTTTTTGTATCCAACACAGAACATCTGACTCTCCTTGTTTATACACAATCAGGTTGTATGGGAAATTGGTGTCCAGTGTGTGAAGTTGCTTATTAATAAGCATTTGTGGGCCATTTGTGAACAGGCTTGTTAAACAGTAAACGCAGATTTATGTTTAGGGCTGCAAGCACAAATAACAAAAGGGAAAACGATAGAAGGGGTTCCTCCGCGGGGGTGAAAATAACAAAATGGGGTCCTCTGACCTCCCCCTGTACATTACGAGCGTCGTCAGACTGGCTTCAGACCAGCGCCGGCCCACAGCGCGGTCCTACTAAGGGCGACCCCGCAGAAGACCCACTTTCTGTCATTTACACGCCAGCAGAGGGCCCCTTTTTGTCATCTTCCTTGTTTGGGGCATTGTGGTCGATCCAGTCACAATCGGAGATGCTGCCCACAAATTTGAATGTTCTAGTTCGATTCTTGTGGTCTGAATGTTCTGGTTGTGTGTGGGCTTTCCGAATGCTTAAGTCTACAACACACAAGCTTTGGCAGATGTGGGACACCTTTAGCGCTTGGATTTTTTGAGAACTCTTGTTGGGGTCGCGTGATATGAAATTTATGGCAAGCTGGTGACGCGTGAGCCTCGAAAGGTGGCTAGGAATTGGCGAAAATCCACAAAAGTGAAAAAAGGGCTTAGTCATCTACAACGGAACGAACTCCAGCATAAAAGGAGAACATGGAGACAGCAATGCGGCAAGACGTATGGGTACCACGATTTCCACCCAATTCTGGCAAGATACGGGACGCGATACCGACGCCAAAAAAGGTCCTGCATCCCAGGAAGTGACGTGACGCACTGGGCTCTCTGATCCACCCCTTTGGACGTGCACGCTTGGCTCACGAAGCTGCGTCCTCACTCGGAAACTGCTTCCGACAACGCAGCACTGCTGGAAGGATGGATCTGCACCGACTGGCCGCTGCAATGCGTGTCGATTGCTCGCACCAGCAATCGGGATCGAGGCGCTGCGAGCACCGAAGGCAATCGGTGGGACCGGTGCGGGCTGCGACTCGTGGCGAATCTTCGCCGATGGATCCACTGGCCGGGTAGAGGCCTCGAAGGCTACGCAGGATTGCAGCTTGCGGAACACGCAAACGGCGAGAGGCGCCAGCGCTGGTGGGGTTGCAACGCAGCAACGGTCTCACGGGACAGGTAACAGGCTTTGGGGGGCCAAATGATGTACCGCTACCGGATTACTCACAGTGGCAGAATGGGCAGCGAACGTGGGCATCCTGTGAGACGCTGCAGAGCTGGGATTGTGCGTCTCAAACGCCTTCCTAGGCGGGAAGACTTTGCCAATGGCGGCCAAGCTTTCCATCAAAGGTGATCAACTGGAACTGACCCAAGAGAGGTGATGATGCGTGCTACAACAATCTACGGCATCTGCAAGGCAATCTACGCAATTGATGACTATGCTACCAAGTTTCAAGCAAGATAACGGTCAATCTATCTTATTAATATCATTGTGCGATTGGACGTTTGTGGAAACTACTGCGAGCCTATGCTGAACCCATTGGCGAATCGGAGATTTGAAGTCCTGCTCTAATTGATTGAGAAACTCTCAAGATGCTTGTTGGAAATAGTTTTGACTTCTCAGGGACTGTTGTGCGTCGAAACATCAAAAAGAACGTGGATTTTCTGGCTGACAGAAGCGCAATTTATTCGCAGCAGGCTAGGGCGAGGTGTGATGTCATTTCTTTCCAATTCTTCTGCCTTAGGTAGATGTACTTTACGTGGTTCTATGAGACTTGGTAGCCCAATAGGGTTGCGACCTGCCACGCATGGAAACAACAGGAATCTGGTTATGAATTTGACCCTGAAAATTATGGACTTTTGTGACTTTTGGCTTTTATTTCACATGTGAAGACTCAATTGTACAACTGATGAGTTGTGAGCTCATGATTTGTCAAAACCACAATCCAAAATATTGCCAAGCTCCCATTTTTGGACTTGGTAGCCTTGCCAAGTCCGATCTTGCTTAAAAAATATGCTGCATGAATTTCATTGCAATACAACAGTCACCATCACGTCCTTGCCCATCAAATGCAACTCATCAATCACAAATCACGATCACTTTCGCACAATTGTGCAACCTGCTAACCCACGTACTAAGCGATCAGTCTCAGTCATCACATATGGTAGGAAACTCACGAAAGAAGAACTAAAGTATTGTCTTGTGATCTCATAACAACATGCAAACATTTTGCTCTATTGGTGCAAAAGTCGCCACACAAGAATGCAAGGCTCACACCTCTTTGTATCACACAGGTGAGCATGCATGTCTTTGGAATACCCATGGTTGTAAATTGTTGATGTTGCATATTATGTTGTATTCCAAGATTCATTACAAGTTGTTGGGGCACGATTCTTTAGGTTGGAATGGGATAAATGAGCTTTTCTATTGGGACTTTAGGGAATTTGGGACATTTTTGTTGTTTAGAGTACTGGGTATTTTATAGTGCCTTTGGGTTGTTCTTGTTGTACCTAGGGTTTTATTGTGTTCATATTCATAACTTTCTATTTTTGTTTAAATAGGCCCACCAAAACAAAAAACAATTAACTAAATTTGTGAGTTATATACTTTGTATTGTTTGTAATTATTGATTCTTAGTGCCAATCCGCCTCTCTCACCCACCGCACAAACCTGGGCGTGCACTGTGCAGTATCACCCCCTCGTGTATCTGCGGGGTGGCACAACACCCAAAATGAATTGCATATCAAGAGGACTAACAGATTGGTACAATGAAGTTTTGGAGCTCATGTGCAATCTCGTCATGTTTTATAGCAAAAGTCGCTTTGATGATTTTTCAAGTGGGAATACAATCTCGCCAATTCTCATAATGATTCACATATATTTTATGGAGGCCAACTACACGCTCTCATTTAAATAATACACCAAGGGTAGGGGTGGTTGTCAAAATAGCATCGTGAACACCCCACAACATGCTAACACCTTGAACATGGAAACTGACAAAAGGGGGTCCCCCCTAAAGGGTTGCAAATGACAAAAAGGGGTCTTCTGCTAGGGCGCTTCTAGTAGGACCATCTTGTGGATTAGTGCCGGTCTGGCAACATGTCATAATGTGTAACGCACGGTTAGAGAAACCTTTTTATCGATTTCCCTAAACAAAAGTAATCGTCATTTAGGATTCCGAATACATGTCACCTAAAGGAAAGGTTTCATTTTCTCATTTTCTTCGTTGCTTATTTGTTGCAGCCCCATTAGCAGCCGCTGGTTTCTGGAGGTGTTGGGATCGCTCTGCCCTGCAGCACGGCCATAGGAGGTCGGCCGGCCTCTCCACCTTGGACGGTGGGCGTATCCGGCACAGTCGATTGTGTGTCGTGCGGTGGGCTCAATACTCGATAGGGATCGATCCCCGGGGCCTGCTGTCGGCAAGAGGTGGCGGCGCAACAAGGCGGTGGTTCTTGGCTCACGGGAGGCCAAAGAGTCAGCCAAAAGTGTTACACGGTGTCATGGGTGGCTCGATTGCCACTCGCTGGTCCGCTCCGCCGGGGTCACCCTGCCCGATGGATCGGCGATTTATGCCGATCTCTCTCTGCGGATCGCCGCAGGCACCGTCGGGGCAGTCGTGGGTGCTCTGCATGGTGGGCCTATTGTCGCGCGTCGGCGAGGATTCAACTCGGGCGGCTGTTTTGTGAACGAGGGAGGTGCAGGGGCGGGGTGTGCCCGTGGGGGTGCGCACCGGTCGTGGGCCATAGGAAAGATCACTAAAATCATGTGTCCCCGATATTTGGGGTTGCCCGCCCAGGTCACATCAAATAGTCACACGTATGCTGCTCCATGTTTAGGCCAAATGTCCCCATTTCACCTCAAATCGACCCATCCATCGCCCGGCTCCCAAAGTACTGGTACCCAAACTACTAACCTAAAGTACAGGGCTTTTAGAGGCCCATATCTTCGTTGTTTCTCAGCGGATTTGGGCGTTTAAAAGAGCGTTGGAACCGGGAAGCTCTTTAGAAACTATAGAAAAGGTGGACTTACAAAATTACGTGATACTTACACAAAAAATGCCTCTAACTGCTTAGACCCCAAGTACATCCACAACACACAAATTCAACGCATACGCGCTGTCAGGCAAAATCAGTGGTGGGACTGTCCAATCAATAAGCGGATTAACTGCACTGAGCCAGTTCTCCTCTAAAATCA